CTTTGTGCAGCAACATCTCACAACGTGGTAATGATGAACGACGAGCAAAAAATTCAAGCCTCAGGGAATATGAATGTTATGAAATCTCCTTTAAAAATACAAAAATAAGAAAATTAAATGATATAAAAAACAAAATCGGCCGGGCGCTGTGGCTCAGGCCTGTCATCCCAGCACTTTGGGAGGCCGAGGCGGGCGGATCACCTGAGGTCAGGAGTTCGAGACCAGCCTGACCAGCATGGAAAAACCCCGTCTGTACTAAAAATACAGAAAACTAGCCGGGCGTGGTGGCGCGTGCCTGAAATCCCAGCTACTCGGGAGGCTGAGGCAGGAGAATTGCCTGAACCCAGGAGGCGGAGGTTGCGGCGAGCCGAGATCGCGCCATTGCACTCCAGCCTCGGCAAAGAGAGAGAAACTCCGTCTCAAAAAAAAAAAAAAAAAAAAAAAAAAAAAAAAAGAAAGGAAAGACAATCACAGGGAACATTCAAAGCAAAATTCAGGTCAGCGGCCGCCCGCAGCGGGAGGCGGCTGGACGTGAGCGCTTCTGTGGCCGCGCCGTGAATGCGCGTTGTCTGGGGCTGGGGGCCGGTGGTGTTCCCGTCACCGCACGTGCTTCCCCAGGTCTCGAACGCGCGCTCAGGGCGTCCGGGCGGCGCCTCCCCGCGGCCTCTCTCCGGCGCCCCCTGGTGGGCGGGCCCGGGCCGGCGGGGTCCCCGGACCTCAGGGAGCCGCAGCCCGCGGACCCGGGAGGGCGCCTCGCCGGCCAGGCGCGGGGCGGAGGCTCGGTTCGCGCGCCAGCCGGGCCCGCCCTTCGGCCGCGGCGAGCCTGTGTTCTCCGCCCCCGCGTGACCTCAAGTGTTTGCCTTGGACAAGGCGCTTGTTTTCCACGCAGCGCGGCCCTGACCTTTCGATTCCTGCCTCGCACGCGTCTGCTCAGGGGTCCGGACGCTTCGGATCACACAGAACGAGAGGAAGCTTCCGGAAGAGCGCCCCCAAACCGGCCGTTCGGGGCCTGTCTGCACCCCGCCGTCCTCCCCGCGCTGCTTATCCGCAGCCTGTGGGGGCCCAGAAAAGCCACGTTCTTCTGCCTCTTGCTCAGCTCCGTGGTCCAAGGGTCCGCGCTGCGGTGCCTCCCGCGCGCTGCCGAGGTCTCGCCTGCCTCCTGCTGGCGCGCGTGCAGCGAGGGGGGCGGCGCCGCTGTCGCTCCGAAAACATTTTGCCACGTGACCTGCCACTGAAGAGAACTTGGCCACGGAGGGAGGTCAAGTGGCCCAGGGAGGTCGCATTCCAGGTCTGCCCCTCGTGGGGCTCAGCCTCTCCCCAAAAAATTGGGTCCTGAAGGCGGAAGCTTTTGTGTGTCCAGGAGCAGGAATCCAAGGAAGACAATGACGTAGAAGTAACAGGCAAAGGGACTGGTACAACATGGATTTGAAAGCGAATAATCTCTCAATAGGCTGTAAATATGAATGCCCGCGATAAAAATTAACTCATAAAATAGAAAGTATATTTGAACAAATTTAAAACTAATATTCTAAAACCAAAATTCCCGAGACTTGAGGTAGATTGTATATTGCAAGAGAAGTAGAGAAGAAAAGTGTGCTAAAAGTCTCTTCTTGTTCAGATCAGAAGACATTGACAAATTCTTCAAGTGAATAAAAAAACTGTAAGTCTATATGTACTTTCAGATTCAAGGGTAATCACTGGTAGAATAACAACAGGACATCAAGATTCCAAATCATCAAACGAAAAAAAGAACACACAAAATATGATCATTTTAAACATAGGGAAAGGAAACACACACACAAACACATATGCAGGCACACACCTGTACACACATGCCCACACATGCACGCCTGCACACACATGCACACACATGCACACCTGTACACACATGCCCACACATGCACACCTGCACACACATGCACACGCATGCATCATGACTGCCAAATTTAGTGATCATGATAAATACGACTGTTTAATTCTCCTATTAAAAGGAAAAGCTTTCTGTTTATGTCAAACCTATAGAATGTTTACAGGACACCTATCAAGAACAAAATGGCATTAAGATACTTTAAAGACTATGATGAACAAAGATAGACCAGGGAAATACTACAGAAAGCAAACACACGTAGCAACAATTATCAGAGGGTACGAAAGGATGTTTACATAACAGTAAAAGGTACAATTAGAAGATTAATTGCCAATTTTTAACATATATTGAAAATAACTGAGTAGATTTTTAAAATAAAGAATAATTTAATAAAACATGGTTATAGTAGAAGGAATCAAAGCACCTTACCTAGAAATGATAAGATTATATACATTTCTTTCTAAAGGCAACTTTTAAATTAAAAATAATTGATGGGGAAATGTTTTAGATGTTTTAAAATGTTTTTTTTTAGAAAACATTGTCTAAATTCCAAAGGCTATACAGGAAAAGTCTGAAAATTTTAATTGTATAAAAATCTAATTTTCTACATGGGAAATCAAACATGAGACTGGGAGTAACTTCCAAACCATAAAACATAAAAACAACTACTATTTATTTGATAGACAAAGAGTCCTTAAAATCTGAGAGGAAATATGTAAAATGCCAATATGAAAAGAGAAGGAATTGTTTCATTAAAAAAATCAAATAATCAATAGATGAAAGATGCTTTCCTTCTTTTTTAACCAGAGAAATGCAAAGTGAAGTAATGACATATGAATTTTCAGTTATCAGGGGCTGACAGTATCCAGTGTTGGAAAAGATACGTAGCAATTGGCATTCCCATACTACTGTGGGCAGGGGGGTTAAAGTGTTTCAACCTTTTGAGGAAGCAATTTTATATATCTGTTAACATCTTAGGTCCACATATCCAGTGATCTAACCATCCCACTCCCACGAGACAGACGTACAGAGATACATGCATGTCTGAATGAAAATGCGTCCATAGGGTACCATTGTGGCACCTTTTGTAACATAAATAATTTGGGAAACCATTTGAATTTTTTGTCAACTCAAAATAGACAAATTGTGAACTATTCATCAAATGTAGTATGTGCTGTATGTTTATATAAATTGTTTTAAAGTTTGGAAGAATACACAGAATACTTTTAACCAGAGTATAGTACATGCTATTATTAGTAATCAAATCCCATTCCTGATTCCCTTAACCTTTTAACACATTCAGGTAGTCTTTCCACTTTCCAGCCTCTCTTGCACATAGGAGTAGTGACATTCTAGCCAATAATTTAAAAATCTCAGATTTTCTGAAAGTGTCTTGGAAAGCTCTTATTTTCTTGACGAATACAATAGACAAGAGAAGCACTTCCAGAATGGCAGGATAAGCAGCTCTGAAAATCTGTTTCTCCAGAATGGCAATGTGAACACCAACAGAATTGTTGAAAAAATGTGAATGGAGCCTTAGAGACCTGTGGGACATAATCAAGAGTATCTACACAGGCACAGTGGGAATCTCCGAAAGAGAGAAAAAAAGGGGGACAAAAATACTATTTGAAGAAATCATGGCTAAAAATTCCCCAAATTTGATGAAAAAGATCCATCTACATATCCAAAACCTTAACCAACTCAGAATAAATGAAAGGAGAGCCACACTCGCACACACCATAGTCAATCAAAGGGAAAGAGGGTGTCCTGGAAGCAGCAATAGTGAGATGAGGTGTTAGGTAAATCAGCCCTCGAGAAAATAACAGCCCCTGTTCACCAGAAGCCACGGGGCCAGCAGTCAGCGAGATGACGGAGTCAGGGCACTGAAGGAAAACAGTGCCAACCAAGAATTCTGTATCCGGAAAATACGCTTCCAAAAAGAATGAAGTATTACAGGTCTTTTAGAATTTGTCTAGCACATTTTCTGATACCCTCCCCCATTGATTAATTAATTAAAGTTTAAAATATATCTTAGCCTTTTGGCTAAGATCAAATGTCAAAAAGAAAGGGAAAAATAAGACATTCTCAGATAAAACTGAGAGAATTTGTAAGCCTGTCATAAGAAATACTAAAAGAAGTCTCTTGGGCCAAAATAAAAGAATACTAATAAGTCAAATCCACATTATATACAGAATTAAAGTAAGCGCAAAAGAAGTATTTTAGTAGGTATAAAATAAAAACTACAAATAATAAAAAGAGAATTAGCAGAGGATTTTTCCTTCTTAATGGGGTTTAAAATATGGAAGCTGCTTTTGTAGGGTAAATTTGGGACTCTCAGTTTTCACTTCATCCACTTCTGTGTTGTTTGCATTTGTTAAAAGCAGATATTTTACTTTCCTGATCAAAATTAGCTTTCTAATCTTTATAAACAATTATTCAATTCCAATAAATCTTCTCTATATTGCTTTACTAGTGAGTTCTATCAAAATTTCAAAGTGCAGACAATTCCCCTACAATATAAAGTATCCCCAGGCACACAGAAGATGGGAGTTTTGCAGTGGTTTCTAGAATAGTGCAATTTTTATGCAAGAACCTAATATAACACAAAAGCTATAGCCCAATTTTATTTGCAGGTATAGATATAAAGTTACCAAAAATACTATTAACAAGTTGAATCCTTACAGTGTTAAAAGAGTATCACTCCATGAAAGAGTTGGTTGTGATGTGGAACTATGAAGTACTTTTATGATTCAATATAAAAGTATATGGTACTTTTATGGTACATTGTGAGAGTGTTTTTATCTAGCCTCACACTAGCAAGTCTAAGGAGAAAAATTATGGAATTGTCTCAATCAGAAAGACATTTCGTTAACCCAACTCTCATCCCTGATAAACACTGTTAGTTAGCTAGAGAAAGAAGAAAATTGTCCCAATACAATTACCTCTTTGCCACACCCAGCCAACAGCAGATGTGATGAAAGCCTGAAGGACTCCCTGCCACAGGCATGGGCACGGGCACAGGTGCTCTGTCTTCCTGATTGTTGAACCTTGTCCTGGAAGGTCCTGCCAATGGGATAGATGCAAAACAAATAAAAGCCCTGACTTCTGAAAAGAAGTACACAGAAATGTCATTATTTTCAAACAAGATATGTTCCTGTATTTAAAATCTGATGTTGGTTGGGCATCTAACAATATTATGGCCAGAGGACTCAGACCATAGCTGCATCCCTGTGAGGTGCAGACGGTCCAGGGCACGTGAGTCCTGCCCAGGATGTCCACACTCAGGTAAGCTGCACAGACAATGCTACAATTTTCTACAGCAAGAATATGTAACTTTTTTTTTTTTTAATAATCAGAGATTAATTTTCTTTTCCTTTTTTTTTTTTCTTCCATGGAATTTTCCAGTTAACCTGACAAAGCGGAATAGAATTCAGATGCTGAATTTTCCTTCTGGCCCCATTCATGTAGCAGGTGGTGATTTAGGTACTCCTGGGGGATGCTTTCGGGTCTGGAAGCAGGAAAGAGGGAGCAGGCCAGCAGACCCTGCCGCACTGGGGTCTGAAGCCAGGAGGCTGAGAGAATGCTCGGATCAAGACCAGCCAGACCTCCAGCCCCCAACCCTGCTCTCCCTAGAGAGAGAACACGCCGCTTCTGTATATGCTGAACTCGGAGCTCTGGAGACAGGGAGGGTGGAGGTGAGGCTGGGAGACGGGGTTTCAGTGGGTCTCTTCCCCCTTCCTGGTTTCAGAACATCCACCCCAGTGGGACATCAGAGGGGTGTCTGAGTGTTTGACTTCCAGACAAACCTCCTCATCAGACATCAGCAGGCTGCTGCAGCAGGAGGGTGGTCAGCCTGTGGTTGGTGTTGCATTACATAAACCCTACTCCAAACAAATTCATGGCAATGTGGCTGGAGTTCCCCTTTGTCCAACCAGTGCCGAAGGTCAGGACAGTCTCTCACCCCACATTCACCCCCAGCCCAGGGACACAGGCTGGCGACCTGTCCCTGGATGTGTTTACCGGCACAGCACCAGGTTCCAGCAACCAGGGTGCTGACACGGCCCAGCTCCAACCTCACCAGGTCACTGGATGGAACCTCTGAAGGCCACCACTGAGGGAATCAGCCTTTGAAATGATGGCCAACAGCAGGTAATAATAAACTAATAATTTGGGCTAGACGAGAAGGAAGATGGCATTGGTTGGTGGGTCACCCTCCTTCTCAAAACACAGTATAAAAAGCCCTGCGTTTCTACGGGATTGCCCTCCCAGGCTGGCAGCCGGCCCCCAGCGGCACCATGTCTGCCCTCGGCATCACTGTGGCCCTGCTGGTGTGGGCGGCCATTCTCCTGCTGGTGTCCATCTGGAGGCAGGTGCACAGCGGCTGGAATCTGCCCCCAGGCCCTTTCCCACTTCCCATCGTCGGGAATCTCTTCCAATTGGAATTGAAGAATATTCCCAAGTCCTTCACCCAGGTAAGAGAAATCTTGTTGATTTTAGGGAGAGTAACTCAGAAATTGGATCTGGTATGTGTGCATTCAACTCATTTGCAGACAAACTGTGGTTGTTCAATACCAGCCTGTTAAGAATTAACTGAATTGATAGCATCCTGGAGTGACACTCAAAACGTGTCGCCCAGCTGGAGCCCTGAACCCTCATGGCAGGCCCTGGAGCCCCCCGTCCCCCCCGCGCCTCTGCCTCGTCTCGGGGCTGATGCTGGGGAGGCCGGCGAGGCCGGGCTGCTGCGACGCCAGGGTAACCGCGCTCACAGCCCGATGCGCACCGGCTGGGCGTCAGCCCGCGTTTGCCAAAGCACGAGCTGAAACGTGAAGTGTTGGGCCAGTGCGTGTGGCACCAATATCTGCCGCCTACGACGGCCGTGAACACTGAATGAGCTAACAAACCTAAAAATTAAATGAGCTGATAACGCCGCCAGCACAGAGCAGGCGCTGGGTGTTCGCGCGTTGGAATGTGCGCTCCGCGGGGCGCCGGCTGGCGGCGGGTCCCGAACCTTGACTCTGGAAGCGAGCGACGGGGTGGCTGGTGGGCGCACCTTAGGGAAGGGACTTGAGGACCCAGAGACCGCGGAGTTGACCGAGTCCAGGCGGGTGCGGAGCGGAGCAGCTGGGGCCCCGTGGGCGGCCGGGTGCGCAGATGCGCGGGTCCCGCGCGCCCCGCAGACGCAGCAGCCCGGTGTGGGGAAGGTAACCCCACGTTGGGCTGGACAAAGGCTGCCTTTCCCCACGCGCCCGCCGGGTCTCTGGAGCAACGGCATTAGCCGCGCCGCGGGCCTCACCTGCAGCCTGGGTCTCCGCAGCTGGCCGAGCGCTTCGGGCCGGTGTTCACGCTGTACCTGGGCGCGCGGCGCGTGGTGGTGATGCACGGCTACAAGGCCGTGAGGGAGGCGCTGCTGGACTACAAGAGCGAGTTCTCGGGCCGAGGCGAAATCCCCGCGTTCCAGGCGCACAAGGACAGGGGTGAGTCCGCGTCCCTGGCACGGGCGGGGGGCGCACAACTCGCCCCGGGACAGTTACGGGCGCCAGCCACGTCGGCGCGGGCCGAATGCTAAAGTCACGGTAATATGACAGTAATGGCATCCGAAGAATGATTCGGGCGATGGCCCCGCGCGCTGCCTGCTGCACGAGGTGGCCCTCTAGGCCACCCACCGGCGAGTTTACAGGGATCCGCGGCGGGGCTGCTTCTGAGCCGGGGGCGCCTCCCCCACCCCGCCGTCCCGCCTCCCGGCCCGCAGCCTCCTTCCGGGAGCGCGTCCCCTCCTCTTCCACGGCCTGGGCACAGGCGGCTTCTGCCACCGCGGTCCCCTCACCCACGCGGAGGCGTCAGAAGCTGCGGACACTGCTCGCTTCAGGGCTTTGCTCAGCTGCAGCTGGTGACCTCCAGAGAGGGGGCCTCTGATGTCCCGCTGGGGCATGTTCTGAAGACCGCGAAGGGGGAAGAGACCCACTGAAAGCCCGTCTCCCAGCCTCACCTCCACCCTCCCTGTCTCCAGAGCTCCGAGTTCAGCATATACAGAAAGCGGCGTGTCCCCTCTCTAGGGAGAGCAGGGTTGGGGGCTGGAGGTCTGGCTGGTCTTGATCCGAGCATTCTCCCAGCCTCCTGGCTTCAGACCCCAGCACGGCGGGGTCTGCTGCCTGCTCCCTCTTTCCTGCTTCCAGACCCGGCCTGCTGCTTCTTCCTCCTCCCTCCCTCCCTGCCCTGCAGAGGCTTTCAAAGTAGATTAGAAATAAACAGTGTCGCACAAGGAAGCCTCTAGTTCTTTGAGTCAACTTTGATGAGGAGGCTCCAGAAAGCCTTTGCCATGCTGTGTGGAATTTTAAATCTGAGAGCTGGTGTCCTCGCCCTGTTTGTCCAGTCTACATTTCTAGGTTATATTGTGTCACAATCAGTGTCATTTGCTTTTGCTTCTCCTGCATTGTGGGGTTTTACTTCTCTGGGGTTGCCAAAAACAAAATTGACCATCTCAGTCCTTGTCGCTAACACAGGAAAAGCATTACTGGGGGAGGGCCCGGTTCCGCGGTTGAGGAGCTAGTTCTGGGTCCCGGAGCCCTTATCTGCCACCCACAGATCCAAGGCAGAGTCCGAGGCAGCAGGGTGGGCTCGGAGCGTGCATCTCGGCAGCTCGAGCTCAAGCGGACGTTGCTGCCTCTGCCTGGGGGCTCTAAAGTTTCATTTTTATATGACCCACAGGGCCCAGACTGGAGGATAATTAGCAGAGCCCTGGGCATGGGCGGCACCTGGCCCTTGAGGGACGATGATGAAAATATTCCTTATTAGCATAACACTGAGCACAGGCTGTGTGACAGTGTGCCAGAGGAACTGCACACATCCTTTCAGAAAAAGTCCATAACACAGAGAAAGCGCCGTTCCCAACCTAGATTTTTAACTTGTTGAACAGCTGTCTAAATGGGTCATCTCGGCTATCCTCCACTCAACATGACCACGTCCGCCCCTCCACCACCACCACCACCACCATCACCACCCCTCTCCCCACCTCCTCAGTCTTGTTAGTCCTTCCTCCTACTATTCAGGATGAAATGAAACCCTCTGTCCAGACTCATTTCATCTGCTCCCCACCCCTCTCAGGCCGGCCAACCTTGCTTCTGGAACAGGTGAGCACGGGTTCCCAAGGCACTTTCTAAGCACCCTGCAGGCGCCTCCCAGGAGTGGTCAGTGGTCAGTGGTTAATCAGCTAATGAAGCTGCATAAGATATGACCCTTGTTTACTGCAGAATGCCCAGAGCTGGCAGGATGTCTGAAATGCAGGAGGTACCCGAAATGTATTTACTGAGGCAATGATGATGGACAAGAGGAACCCAGAAAGCAAGGCAGAGAGGGCCCCTGAGGTGGAAGGGGGTCCCCTGAGGTGGAAGGGGGGCCCCTGAGGTGGAAGGGGGGCCCCTGAGGTGGAAGGGGGGCCCCTGAGGTGGAAGCGGGGTGTGGCTGGGAGTCTGTAGAGGAAGAGGGATAATTTCAAGGTTCCTGTCTGGGAGAAAATAAACAGGTTTATAGTTAGCTGAGAGAAAGATGGGAATGTGTCAACATTCTTAAAGAATAAAAAGTTTAGATGTGTTGATGCCAAATGTGCTCCTACTCCCAGGAGGATCCAGACAGGGCAGGGCCAGGCCTTGACAGCTCAGAAGGGACAGGTTTCCCAGCTCTGATGCTTTGCACAGTCAGGGGCTTGTGTGACCTGCCAGAATTTAGTGAAGAAACTTGCTGTGGAGCCGGAGAGCTGCAAGTTGAGGCGTGTGTGATGTGAGGGTTAAAAACCTGTGAGAACAGAATAGCTGGCTTTTCAAGAATTTTGTTGGTAGACAGGAAAGACGTGGGAGGTGTTTTTGGAGTGGCCATATGTGGTTTTATTTAACATGGGGAAGACTCGGCAGAAAGGAAAAAGGAAGAAGGTGAGTTGGCAGCATGAATAAGAGCACCCAGGAGAGGGTAAATGTGATCAAAAACCACAGTGCAGACTGCGGGGACCCCAGAAAGGCTTCCCCCAAAACCTGACCAGCAAGTGGCCTGTGCTGGCAGCTCCCATGCCCCCTCTGTCACTTCTTTACACACCTGCAAACCTGCTCTGCTCTCCAAGGCCCTCTCTATTCCGTTTCTCCCCCGAATGGGCCTTCGGAATAACCCTCTGCTGGCCCCTCTGCCTTAGGAATCATTTTCAATAATGGGCCCACCTGGAAGGACATCCGGCGGTTTTCCCTGACCACCCTCCGGAACTACGGGATGGGCAAACAAGGCAACGAGAATCGGATCCAGAGGGAGGCCCACTTCCTGGTGGAAGCGCTCAGGAAGACCCAGGGTGTGTATCTGCTGCCCAGCAGGGGCCGTCCTCATGCAGGCCAGGGGTACGGGGAGCCCCGGCCGGGACCCCTAGACCACATCTGAACTACAGGGACCTACGGACTAGGAGAGGGTCTCATGAGTCCCCAGACACTGTGTTTACAACTCTGGTTTCCAGCCACACAGTTCAGGGAGCAGGTGTAGCCATTAAGCACGTGACTCATATCCTAAATACTGTCACAAAGTGAAGAAGACCCAAACAGATTCAGACATTCGCTATCTTTTGTAGATTACCAGTTTTCAGGGTGCCTTCTCACAGGCCTGGGTGAGCCCCAGAAGGTGACTGAGTGGGCGGAGAAGCCCCCGTGTCTCCTTGCGCCCATCCCCTGACGGCCTGTCTGCCTGTTTTCCAGGCCAGCCTTTCGACCCCACCTTCCTCGTCGGCTGCGCACCCTGCAACGTCATAGCTGACATCCTCTTCCGCACGCGTTTCGAGTACGATGATGAGAAGTTTCTGAGGTTGATGCATTTGTTTAATGAGAACTTCTACCTGCTCAGTACTCCCTGGCTCCAGGTGAAGCCATGTTCCTTTTTCATCAATCATCAATTGTACACTTTACATTAGAAAAAGAAGGAAAATTCAGGTTATATGTGATAGGACTGCAAAAGCCAGAGAACATAGCTTCAAGGAGAGCCCAAATATTCTTCCCAAAGACATATCTGGGGTCCTATGCACCCTTTGCTAACCTTAGAATACGTATCGACCTCTGTGTGCACATTTGCACCACAGAATGTGCACTGCTGAGGAGAATGGTGCCCAAGAAGGACACTGTTGACCCAAAATATTCCAAATAAACAATTATTTCAGCCACAAATTCAGGTTTGGAGAAAGTTGTTGGTCCAACATACACAATTATGTTGCATCCGGAAAAAAATAGTAAAATATTTTTCTCTCCCTAGCTTTACAATAATTTTTCCAGCTATCTACACTACTTGCCTGGAAGCCATAGAAAAGTCATAAGAAATGTGGCTGAAATAAAAGAGTATGTGTCTGAAAGGGTGAAGGAGCACCATCAATCTCTGGACCCCAACTGCCCCCGGGACCTCACTGACTGCCTGCTGGTGGAAATGGAAAAGGTAGGCTCAGCCCTTGCAAGAGGCGGGCTCTCCGGGGCGGGCAGGGAGCGTGCATTTTGGATCTACAGTGTGACCTGAACTTGCTGGAGTGCATGGCTCCGGCCGCAGCACGCTGTCAGTTTCACACACACACCCTTCGCTTCAGCATAACCATTGGCACAAGTCAGCTGCCTTGCTGCCAAGCTGGCCTAGCAGTTGGAGGTGGCGTGGGTGGGCCCCTTAGCCCCTTCCAGGCCCTGCTGCCCAACCCTTTCTAGTCCGCAGACTTTGAGAGTTGCGTCTTGTCTGAGGAGAAGCCCCCAGCATTCCTTGTGGGCAGGTAGTCCCCATCTGTGCACAGCTTCAGGACTTCCGGGCCTCCCCAGCTTCATTCACCTGCAGCCCTCAGGATCCCCTGCCCCCTGCCCAGCATGGTAAAGTTCCTTGTCCCCTTGTCTTGTCCTTTTGTGGCTCAAGAACATGTGGATCCACACTGGTTTCCCGGGGCTGCCTGAGCATGTCCTCCACAGTTTGGCCTCTCACAGCAGCAGACACTAGCTCTGCAGCAGGAGGGTTTGCAGGAGCCCTTCAGCTCCTGCCTGAGCTGTGACCAAGGTCAGGGACATCTCACCTCTCCCAGGATGGCCTGTGTGCTACTGAGGGAAGCAGAGCCCCATCCTGCCTTCAGCAGATTTCCTGAGGCCTCAGTTTCCCTGGCTGTGAGGTGGAGATGACCCTGACTCTCACAGCTCCAAGTCACAGTTCCACTGGGGGGATCTCTTGGACACTGTCTCCTTTGTCCCTGTGGACCTGGGAGGTGGCTGGTTCTGTGCTGAAGGGAGACAAGCAGCTCCTTCTCCTCCTGCCTATCTCTGGCATCACAGGAAAAGCCCAGTGCAGAACCCTTGTACACAATGGACGGTATCACTGTGACCGTGGCTGACCTGTTCTTTGCGGGGACAGAGACCACCAGCACCACTCTGAGATATGGGCTCCTGATTCTCATGAAATACCCTGAGATCGAAGGTAGGCAGGTGACCGGCGGGACACGGACAGGTCCGGGGTGGATGGTTGGATGAATGGGTGGGTGGATGGGAGAGTGGATGGCTAGATGGGGGGATGGGTGGGTGGATGGATGGATGGATGGATGGGAGGGTGGGTGGTGGGTGGATGGATGGAGGGGTGGATGGATGTGTAGGCAAGTAGATGGATAAAAGGGTGATTGACTAGATGGGTGGATGTCCAATTGGCCAGGAGCCAATTCCTTAAATTTGTCCCATTCATGTCTTGGCAGAGAAGCTCCATGAAGAAATTGACAGGGTGATTGGGCCAAGCCGAGTCCCCGCCGTCAAGGACAGGCTGGAGATGCCGTACATGGACGCTGTGGTGCATGAGATTCAGCGGTTCATCAACCTCGTGCCCTCCAACCTGCCCCATGAAGCAACCCGAGACACCATTTTCAGAGGATACGTCATCCCCAAGGTCAAGCATGAGCCTGGAGCACACAGCATGAACACCGGCCTATCCGCTCATTGCCTTCCTGCCAGGGAGCAGGATGGGGGCCCAAAGACCCTTCCCTTTGGCAGGGGGCACTGAATGGAGGAGCTGGGCCCCACTCCCACCCTGTGGAGTGCCGCTTTCGCTGCATTGCTCACATCCATCTGGTGACCAGACAGGTGGAGGAAGTCTGCAAAAGTGCCTCCGGGGACAGTCCCTGGGACTCATGAACTCTGATGCCAGGAGCAAACAGTCACAACCAGCCCTGGAGTCAATCTTGTGATCTTATCTTCGTTTAGACCTGACCCCTGACCGCCTTCTGTGTAGTCCTTCCCTGAGCGACTCCCTCAGCTGGAAATATGCTACCGTGTATCACATAACACCCACAGCAGCATTCTTCACCGGGGGCTTCCAGATGAAAGCCCACATTTTGTTCATGTGACTCACTGAGACAATCTTTGTTTCTTCTAGGGCACAGTCATAATTCCAAGTCTGGACTCCGTTTTGTATGACAACCAAGAATTTTCTGATCCAGAAAAGTTTAAGCCAGAACACTTCCTGAATGAAAATGGGAAGTTCAAGTACAGTGACTATTTCAAGCCATTTTCCACAGGTGAGAAAGTCCAGAGGCAGCACATTCCCTTGAGGAGCAGCTCACAGGCCTCACCTCCACTGCACGTGTGCTCTGCCCTCATCCCAGGCCTGCACTGACACCCCTGTGCCCTGTGTCTATTGACAATGACACCCACATGTGCTCTTCCCTAGTCAGAGAACGTCCATAACATCTTCCAGCAGCAATCCTGGGAATGAAGTGTCGTGGGTGGATTTTTTTTCCCAAAGACTAGACGTTTTACACTATTCATTGCTAAATTCTGTTTCTATTTTAACAAGACTTAGTGAAAAGTTCTCAAAACCGTATTACCCAATTCTTCCTAATTTTAAACCAGAGCTGCTAAACAGAATCTAACATTTGGTTACCTAGAATCATCACAGGAAGCATCAAAGCCTTCCTGGGGTGTGACTCAGTGACTCTTTGAGGCACTTGTCCGCCTTCCCAGGGCCTCATCTCAGGGATTGCTGTGAACGAAGATCACACAACCAACTCTATACTTTTAACCCCCCAGTGCTGGAGCCCCAGCTTCTAACAGGGCACTACTTCCCTCCTGTAGGCATCACTGGTGAACCCTGGGGGTGCCTTCTTTACTGGGCAGAGAAGGTCTTCCCAACCTAACATAGGTTTTTGCAGTTGAGCTCTGGATGACTGAGGTTGTATGAAGCCTGGTCCCTGGATAAGTCAATGTCACTGGTATTCTTCCACTCGAGCACATTTTGCGCTGCTTTTGATGGGCCGAGGGGGTGGGCCCTGCCTTGTGATGCCGTTTGCCCACAGCCTCCCCTCCCGCTTCTGCCAACCCCACTGCTAACAGTGTCGTGTCTCTGAAACTCCCTCAGCGTCTCATCAGTACCATTGTTACTTCCAGGAAAACGGGTGTGTGCTGGAGAAGGCCTGGCTCGCATGGAGCTGTTTCTGCTGTTGTCTGCCATTTTGCAGCACTTTAATCTGAAGTCTCTCGTGGACCCAAAGGTTATCGACCTCAGCCCCGTAACGATTGGGTTTGGCCGCATTCCCCCGCATTACAAACTCTGTGCCCTTCCTCGCTCGTGGGTGTAAGGAGGACACACTCATTCCTGAGCCCCCCGCTTTCAAGCAAGTTTTCAAATTGTTTGAGGTCAGGATTCCTCAACCCCATTCCTTTCTTTGCATATGAATATTTGAAAATAAACATTTTCCTGGAATATAAACAAATCATCACATGATTATTTTATCTGTACATTAAATCATGGAATATCTTATTTGTTGAAGTGATTCTTACAGAGAGAGGTTTTTGTTTGCTTGTTTTTCTGAGATGGAGTTTCGCTCTTATTGCCCAGGCCAGATGCAGTGGCTAGATCTTGGCTCACTGCAATCTCCGTCTCCTGGGTTCAAGTGATTCTACTGCCTCAGCCTCCCGAGTAGCTGGAATTATAGGCGCATGCCACCACGCTCAGCTAATTTTTTGTATTTTTAGTAGAGATGGGGTTTCACCATGTTGGTCAGGCTGGTCTGGAACCCCTGACCTCAGGTGATCCACCCTCCTCGGCCTCCCAAAGTGCCAGGATTACAGGCATGAGCCAATGTGCCTGGCCACAGAGAGGTTTTGAATATAACTTTCATATTATTGAGAAGCTCTTACCTCTAGGATCACATCACTTCAGTGCCAGCAACATACTGAGGTGGGGAATTTGTATTAGTCGGTTTTCTCTGAAGGGGCAGAACCAATAGGACAGATGTGTACATGCAGGGAGTTTATTAGGAGAATCGACTCACACAACAGGCTGTCTGCAAGCTGAGGAGTGGACAAGCCAGTTCGAGTACCCTAACCTCAAAAGTCGGGAAGCCGACAGTGTAGCCTTCAGTCTGTGGCCGAAGGTCCGAGAGTGGTGTAAGCCCAAGAGTCTGAAAGCTGAAGAACTCGGAGTCTGATGTTTGAGGGCAGGAAGCATCCAGCGTGGGAGAAAGACAAGCCTGGAAGACTCGGCACGTCTGCTCTTCCAGCTCCTCCTGCCTGCTTTATTCTGGCCCCACTGGCGGCTGATTAGGTGATACCTGCCCAGATTGAGAGTGGGTCTGTCTCTCCCCATCCATTGACCCAAGTGTTAATCTCCTTTGGCCACACCCCCACAGATACACCCAGGAATAACACTTTGCATCCTTCAAGTCGATCAAGCTGACAGTATTAGCCATCACAGAATTGTGTGAGTGCAAGGGCGAATTTCCTTTCTTACTCTGTTACCTCAGCACAGGCATCAAATGGGAACACTGATAGGTGCTGACCCTTAACACTTACAGGATATGACTTTGTTAAGATATAAAAGCCTCTAGTTAAAGGCTCTCATATGACTTTAAATGAGATAAAAGTTTAATTCAGAAATCCACAAAATTCAATTAATTAAACCCTGTTACAATAATCTCAGTGGAATCTTTCTAATCTCAAATTGGTTTCCTAACTGACCCCATTCTGTTCTTTGAAGTATACAGCTACACAAATATGTTGCTTTGCTGTATTTGGGATATCTTCCCCAAACCTAAATGTGAAGAATTTAACTGCTTCCTTCGTATGAGAATTGTTTCCTGTGTTTTTTTTTTTTTTTTGTACACTAAACTTCCTGAGGCCAGGATCACATTTTCCCCTAAACTCCAAGGATGGAATAAAGGGTTGGTGCACTGTAGAGTTACAATGAATGCAATTTTATTCGGAAAAAAAAGTAAGAATTTAAAAAGTGCAACACAAGTTGAACTTTAAAAATTCGAAATAAGAAAAAAGAAGGAAATAAAAACTACAAAAAGAAACAGAAAAAAATGAAAAGTGTCCAAAACCCCACCACTCACAGGCCAGTCCCATCCAGTGCCTGCCCTCTGATATTTAGGTTTGCAGATGACATAATTGTCATCGTTTCAAAAATGAAATCATTCTACACATGCTACTTAATTTCTTTATTTTAGCAGCAATGATTGCCCATGACATTAGCTTTTTTTCTGTAATGTTTTAAACGTTTTTATTGTAAATTATTTTATATATGAAGACAAGTATAAGATAAACACAACAAACACCTGTGTACCTACCATCTAGCTTTTATATCAGATTTTCTGAGGAAACAAATTATTACAAATATAGGTAGAGACCCTTTATGTCCATGCTGATCAGGAGGGCTCAAGGCTGCTTCTCCCATGCTTATTTTTCATTGACAAACCTTGAAGCTTTGGGCCATTTTCCAATAGGAGCATTATGCCAGTATTTTACTTGCATTTCCCGCATGGGTAGTGCCGTTGAACACGTCTCCATGTGTTTATTGGTCTTGGAGTTTGTGTTATGTGAGTTACCTCTTCAAATCTTGGTTTGTATTTAGTATTGAGTTCTTTATCATTGTGAATTTGCAGGAGATTATTATAAATTGTGGATGCTAAGCCTATATTGTCATATGTATATATAATTATAATCTCTTTACCTTATCTGTGGCTTATATTTTAATGGCACTTACAATTTTATTTAACCAAAATATTCCATTGTAATGCAGCAAATGACTTTGGTTGCTGCTCAGTGAATCCAAGCTGAGTTTCAGGGTGGCTGGTACCTTCTCATCACCATTGTTATTGGTAGTAGTAAAACTGACGATTAAACAGGTTCCCAGCTGCTGTTGGTGAAAACATAGGTGATCTTCTGTTGGGAGCTGGTTAACAGTCAGAATATGTCTACATGATCAGCAGGGTATATAAGCAGCTCAGCTTACACTATACTCCTCACTACGGCTCCAAATAGAGTGTAGAGAACCAGAACAGCTCCCCCATTCTGAGGTGTTCTATGCACACAGCTGGTTTCTCATCTGAGGAAGTACATCCTGACACAACCTTGCAAGACGAAAAATACAGCTCATACCAGCCTCTCCCGATCCTTCACTGTGAGGCAGCCTGTGGCTGAGATGGTTATCCTTATCTGATGCATATCATTACTTTGTTACTGGTTCATTGTATCCTTTTCTATCAACCAACTGTAGATTCTTTTTCTTTTTTCTTTTCTTTTTTTAAGATGGGGTTTCACCCTGTTGGTCAGGCTGGTCTTGAACTCCCGACCTCAGGTGATCCACCCACCTTGGCCTCCAAAGTGCTTGGATTACAGGCATGAGCCACTGCACCTGCCCCACAACTGTAGATTCTTAAGTGATGTATTTTGTGGGTCCTTTGCTGTAGCACTGAGACATAAAGGTGATTTAAAAATATTGACCTATATCAGGCGTCCCCAAACTTTTTACACAGGGGGCCAGTTCACTGTCCCTCAGACCGTTGGAGGGCCGCCACATACTGTGCTCCTCTCACTGACCACCAATGAAAGAGGTGCCCCTTCCTGAAGTGCAGTGGGGGGGCCGGATAAATGGCCTCAGGGGGCCGCATGCGGCCTACGGGGCCGTAGTTTGGGGACGCCTGACCTATATTGTTCAACAACCACCTATGAGTGATGGACACAGGGAGGGGAGCATCACACATTGGGGTCTGTCGGGGGGAAACAGGGGAGGGACAGTGGTGGGTGGGGAGTTGGGGAGAGATAGCATGGGGAGAAATGCCAGATCTAGGTGATGGGGAGGAAGGCAGCACATCACACCGCCATGTGTGTACCTGTGCAACAATCTTGCATGTTCTTCACATGTACCCCCAAACCTAAAATGCAATAAAAAATTGACCTATATTTAGCAAACTTTTACACTCATTTAGATGTTCTGAAATTTATCTGTAGATTATTTTAGATTCATAAAGCATATAGCCATAAATCCATGTCTTAACTCTTTCACTGTATTATAGTGAACTTTCAGTGTGATAAATAGTATTTGAATATTGCAGACATCCTTGAATTATTCCCAACATGAAATTCTTTAAACATCTAACAAATAAATCTAAGGGAATTGCCTATTTACTTTCTTATGAGTTTTTTTTTTCACATGAATAGGTGTTGAACTGTGTCAAAGACCTTTTATTCTTAACTGAGTAACTGGTTGATTTTAAAAAAAAATTGTAGTGAACCAACAAAAGCTAAAAAGTTCCTTCTAATCATGGGCTTACTCAATTGCAGTTTAAAATGTGGTGTCTTCATTGCCGTTCAGTTCAACATACTTTCTAACTTCCACTTGATTTAAAAGTCATGTTGGATAGTGTATATATAAGCCAGTTTGTTTAAAAACAGGTATGATTAATGGCATCTTAGAGAACTCCTCTCTCCTGAACTGACTGAAGAATTTCTGTACTTTGCCACGTTCCATTTTTCCATGGAAATGGTGCTCTCCAGTGAGCCTCTCAACTCTGCCATGTCACTGGTCTACCCGGTCTGGGAGCCTATCAAGAAAAGAGATCTCTCTATCATTAATTCAATGTATTCTGATTCAGGAGATGCAGACTGACTCCCATCATTGGCCTTAATTGGGTCAATGCTTTTCAGTGAATTTGAAACATGCATCAGAGGCACATGATTTACATCGTAGTTGACTGACTCCCTGCACGCTGAGGACTTCTATCATGTTCCCGTCCAAAAGTGCCTTAGTTATACATTTTGTGTTTCTGAGAGCACAAACTACACAACTAACTGGTGGGGACTACCATACGGAACTGACTGATTTTGAATCCCAGCTCACTGGTTCTCATTTTTCTTTTTTTCTTTTTTTTTTTTTTTTTTTTTGATTTCTGGGAGTCTGTAGTCCAGACCTGTAATGAAGGAATTGAAGAAATAACCACAAGGTGTGTGTATGTGTGCATGGAAGTGGGTTCCAGACCTCCTGGGCACACTGTGGGAGCATCTCAGGTGTGCGCCCCTCTGCCTGGGGACCCAGAGATGAGCAATCCGGAGACCAGGAGGTTAAGGAAGCATTTATTGAAAACCTGTGGTGTGTCTCTGGCCCAGACCAAGAGGCTGAGTTAAGCATAGGCTTCAATCAGTCACAGGAGCCTGGAGGTCTTAAGCCTGACTCCTACTCCTCAACAGTAGACTCAGCTGAGACAGGCTGTATCAAAATAGCTCCTTTATTAGCGCCTTGGGCCAAGGTCAGGGGTGGAGAGTATCCTCCTGGCCTATGAGGATAGCAAGCCCTGCTCGGTGTGCAGCTCCAGGTCTTTCTCCTCATGGGCTTTTAGGGGCTTGGAACTGGCCTGCAGGAGGTTAGTGTTCAGGATGGGAATCTACAGTCACCCCCATGGCCACACGGTCGCCTCCTACCCCATCACCACCTTGGGTGGACAGCCTATGGGAAAGCCTCTCCCCACAAACCATCCTCTGAGGAGTCCCACGACACCCTCCCTTGTCCTCCTGCCCTTCCCCCATCCCTTCAGTAGCCGTCTCTGTTCCCTGACACCCAGTTCTGGGGCTTACCACATCTCCTGGGCCAGCCTCTTCCTCTTGTGTGCTCTGGGCTTGGGCAGGGACCTGTGTCCCATGCTTTTCCAGCTCCTCCTTCAGCCTAGACAGGGAGAGGTAGGATGGGGAAGGAAGAAAGGGAAAGGGCGCCAAGAGGTTTTCAAGAGTCAGAGAGACAGAAGGTTGAGAGAGGAGATACAACACTGGTCACTTTCCTGGTGGGGGTTGAGGGGACAGGGCTTCCACGCACACCTCTGCCGCTTCTGCTGCAGTTGCTGGCACTTCTGCTGCAGCTGCTGGTGGTGCTGGGCAGCAGCTGCTAGGAGCTCCTCAGCCTTCCTGTGCTCTTCCTGAAACAGCTGCCTGGGGGGCCCAGGAGGGGGTGGTTAGCACTGGCCACTCCCTCCTCCCCCGCCTTCACCTCCACATCTTACACTGTGGCTGCTGCCTCCTGGCTGCGGAGAAAGAGGCCGTCATCAAGGGTGGAGGGGCCCTCAGCACCACACAGGGAGCACAGCTGTTGCTTCACATCTTCCAGCTTCACCTTGACCAGCTTCTCTGCAGCACGAAGGGGCAAGTGAGCACACGAGGGTATGTGAGGTCAGATGAGGGCCATCCACCTTCCCTGGCCTCACCTTCCTCGAGCAGCTCCTCCTTGCTGCTGTCCAGGGTGCAGATCTCTCTTGCTAGCCGCTCTGGCCTCTGAGGCGGGCAGAAAAGAGGTCTGTCCACACCTCTTGGCTTTCTCCCATGCCTCGAAGAAGGCTATCTGGATCTTGTTTTGTACTTGCTCACCATGGCTCACTTCCAGCAACTCTGCCCCTCTGTGCATACTAGCCACAGCCAGCCTCAGGCCCATGGCACTGGCCATTCCCTCCCTGTGCCCTTCTGTCACCCTACATCCCTGCAGTGCTGCAGTGGGGAGGCTCATGGATTGTTATTTACAACAGAGAAACCAGCAAACACTGCGAGTCTTGGCTGTTTTCTGGAGGGTCAGGTACCAGTTAGGCTCTGCAGCTCCTTCCTACTCCCCTCCGTCCTCGTGGGGCCTCCTCACTGAGCCCTTCCCTTCTAACACTCACTGTCTATTTTCTTGTTCAGTGCCTGGGATCCTCCTGGGGGGCAAACACTGGCTGCTTATCCTCACTGTCTCCCTTGTGCCCGTGATGGTCCCAGACATATCCACGGACATTGACGGAAGACTTGACCTTGGTTTGATCAGAGATCCCCCTGGCCACTGAGTGGACCCAGGAGGGGTAGCAGGGCCACGAGGGTGGTGACAAGGGACTGGCTCTGGGCAATGTTGATCTTAGCATCACCAGGGCTTATTCAGGGACTGGATGTGGCAGGTGAGAGGAAGCGGCCCTTTGGGCCTGGCGCTGCTACGGAAGATGTGGAAGTGGGAGGAGTGGCTTTGAGGGACTCACGTGGAAGTCCCAGAGGTCCTTGTGTTGGCCCATCAGATCTTCCAGCTGCTCCTCGAAAGCCAACCTGGGGGCCAACCACAGGCATGAAGGGATATGGGCTGAGATCATCACCTTCACAGCCTGTTCATGTCTGTGAGTCTTCTGGCACAGATATCGGGGTGCTTTGCCCATGGTCTTGCTCCACTGGGAGCATCTTCACCACCTTAACCCTCCAAGGCTCAGTGTAGCCAGCTCTTCTAACCCCCATCTTTGATATTATACCCCAACTACCAGCCATCCAAACCCCCTGCCTCAGGTGCTAAGGTTTACCTCAGCTGTCTCTGTTTTTCCTTCTTTTCTTCGATCTTTACGTTCAGAGCAGAAATTCTCTCCTTGCACTCCTGCAACATGGCATGCTTCCTGGGAGAGGCAAGGCAGCCCTCAGCCATGTTCTCTTAAGCCCTGAGAGGGTGCTGGGCTGGGGCTTCTGCCTCCCTCTATTGAGGCTATTTTTTCCCTCCTACCTTAAGGTTCTTCTCTGTAACATGTGATGGGTAGGGGGTAATGTGAGCATTTGCCCCCTGTAAGTACTGTTGTCATGTTAAGAGAGATTAGTGCAGACATGGTCAAGTGAGCAAATGCACACACATCATATCATCTGGTTTCCCCAAAGAGCTGAAAACTCAGTGTGCCAGGGCCTGGGGCCTCTGGTAAGAAAACAAGCTAAATAAGCATTCAGGAAGTGGGGAAATGGATGGACAAATAATTGGGTAGATAAAAGATAATGGATGGAGAGACAATGGACAAATGGTTGGTTCAATGCCTAAATGAACAGATGAGTGAACAGACAGCCAAGGAGTACGACAAAGAGTAAAAGGCAAAGAACAAAAACGAGCTGAAGAAATTTAATTGGTAATTTGGCAAATGAGTGTCTATGCCATCGAGACAGTTACCCTTAACACTACTGCCTGCTGTCGGAGCCCAAGGGGAAAGACACTCTTTGGACACTGCATTGTTTAGAGGCAGAATGAGAGCTGTGGTCTGACACTCATCTTCCTGCCTCTTTCTGCTCCACCAGAATAAAGAGGTGGGGCAGAGTTAGGCTCAGCTGGAAGCTCTTACCTCTGTGCCTCACTTTCCTTCTCCTGGCAGTGCAGCCGGAGGATCTTCAGGGTCTCTACAGGGAGAGCAACAGGGCCCTATGAGAACCTGTCAGGGTACTGGGTTGTGGTAGGGGGAACAGGGCCAGATCACATCAGATCTGTGGACACCTAATTGAGCTTTAACATTTACTGCAAGTCTGGTGGAAGCTACAGGAGACAGGCAAGCTTTGAAAGGCTTCAGCTGCCATAGGGAGAGTGGGCTTCTGTGGGGTGGCAAAGGCACAAGCCTGGAGAGAGGGGAGCTGCATATACCTTGCTTTTTGTTCAAGATCTCCTTCAGGCGTACTTTCTCTCTGTGCACTGGAAAACAGTGATGCATTTGGGCATCAGGGACTACCCACTGCACCCTCAGGGATGGAGCTTGCTCACAGTCATATGGGAAGTTGGGCACAGCCTTGCCCCCAACCCAAATGTGAACCCCCCGAGGTGAGCCCCTCCCTATCCTCTGGTGCCCACATTCCCTGTAAGCACCAAAGGGCCTTCACAGTGATAGAGGGTGGCTGTGCAGGCCCTGCAGGATGCCCATGCTTTTACGTGGGGAGGGCAGAAAATACACAAACACCCATGAAGTGAGATTAAGGGCTGTGAAGAAACATATCGAATAGGGAGGGGCACGTGAACAGATGGAGGCAGGGCGCCATCTCTAGATGGGGTGGCCAGGGAATGCCAATCATCTTGTCTGGGGACATTCTAACTCAGAGCTGATGACATGAGGAAAAGAGGAACCTGTATTATCCATGGAAGCACAGGCAGCACCTGGCAAAAGCCCTGAGGTGGGAGTGAGGTTGGAGGGTGCTTCCTTAACACTCCCACAAGCAGAGAGGAGAGGGGGAGATCGGCAGGACATGAGGCAGGAGAGGGTACAGGACCCTTGGCCATGGCAAGGATGCTGATCATCTGGAATACAGGGTTAGGGGAGGCTTGAGACACTGTGGGGACCTCTGGGTGACCCCTGGCTCCCTTACGTGAGTCCAGTTCCTTCTGCAGGGCCTCGCAGATGGTCTGGGCCTCTCCTAGGTCTTCATTGGCCTTCTTTTTTGCTTCATCAAAGATCAGAAAGACATTGTGTGTGAGGGCAGCCTCCAGCTGCACTATTCTCTTGCCAACAGTGACATTTCTCATTTGCCTTCAGGTAAACCTATAGTTGCCTAAATTTTATAGAGTAGGAAACAAGGCTTCCAGGGTCCAGGCTCTTCTTGCCAGGCTCTGTTGAGAGCAGGGCCAGGATCATGGCAATATGACTATGGCAGCTGCATGCAGAAATGTCCTGTACTTAATTTAAGGCTCTGCTGTCGCTGCTGCGAATAACCAGTAACTTTGGACAAGGGACCGTGCACTCTCATTTGGCACTGAGCCCCACAAACCATGTAGCTGGTCCTAGCTGGCAGCCAAGGCCCCTGAACTCACCTTGCTGGACCTCATTAATCCGGTTAATCAGGACCTCAACTTGGGGCTCTAGGCTTCCCACTGCAGGAGAAAGGCGGTTGAGTTGACAGAGCAGGTAGAGGTGAGGTGGTTGCCAGCCTTGTGTCTCTGCTGCTTTCATGCAACAGAGTACCTATTGCAAGCAGGTGCTGTGTGGGGCCCTCACAGGGCTCATGTTCTGGGTGGGTGAGACTGGGAATAGACACAATGAGATACCGAATGGAGCTGTGGTAACTCTGTTCAAGAGAAATAAAGTAGGGCAAGCAGGATAAAGAGCAAAGAGGTGGGAAGTGCTCCTCAGACATGAGAAGGTGTCATGACGACCCCAAATCAAGTGGCAGGGGGCAGGCCCTGAAGCTCTTTGGGTGGGGGTGGGAGGTAGTCAGTGCAAAGACCCACCCTGAGGTGGGAACATGGCTGGCAGGAGCCTAGTGAGCAAAGAGGGAGTGGCAAGAAGTCTGGGACAAGGTTTTTGGAAAACATTTTGCCTTCTATACCCCTTTACTTCTTTAATTTTGAATCATGGAGCCCTATTTTTAGTTTAAGTAATTAATTTTTTAAAAAACGAAAAGGTGAAGAGGATTATTTCCCAAGTCAGACCCCACATCAGCCTGGCCCCAAACTTCAGGCTGAGCCTCACACGGATGAGACACATGACCTTTCTGCAGCTTTTTCACCATTTCCATCAAGTCTTCAATTTTCTGTGAGGATATGTCCTGCCCTGTGGAGACAAAACCAAAAACATTTCAGATTCCAGCAGGGAGAGAGGCCAGAGGAAGGATCTGACAGCCCTGGACTGGGACTGAGGTGGGCCAAGGGCAGGTATCCAGCCAGAGTGGTACCCCTGCTCCTTGTCCTGAGGTGGATGGTACGCTAGATGAATTGGGCTCCTCCACGGTCAACTGTTCCCTATTAGGGTAAAAGTATTTCAGGTATCCTCTTTGTAAAACTCTGGGTGGGGGCAGGGGTGTACTCTCACTGCTGAGGCTATTCAAAGTAAGGTCAAAGCTCCTGATGTAATAAACCAAGTAAAAAAAAACGAGGGCATAAAAAACTGGAACAAGGAGTCAAAAATCACTGTAACTGGCAGATGGCATAATCTAGGAAGTTCTTAGAGAGTTTTCCACAAAACCGTAAGGATTAGTAACAAAATGCATTAAGATGTTAGGTTAAAGCATATATAAATACAAATAGCTTTCCTATATACAACCAATACCAAATCAGAAATCTCCCCATAAAATAGTATTTCATATTAATTTTTTATAATCATTATTGGAACCTATTTTTACCACTCTAATAAATTAGTGGGTCGAATAAATTACTATTTATGGCATTAATATTGTGAAAGGAAAAGCAATCTTTTTATAAAATAAATCTGAAAATAAATGAATTCAAAGTCATCCCTCTGCTCACTGAGATAAATGGATATCTAACTGTCTCCTTTGGAAGGCTAATCAGAAACTCGAAAGAATGCAGCCATTTGTCTTTTATATACTTATGACCTTGAAGATCCTCCCCCCACTGCTTCAAGTTGTCTCATCTTTCCAGATCGAACCAATGTTCATCTTACATATGTTGATTCACGTCTCATGTCTCCCGAAAAACTGCAAAACCAGCCTGTGCTCTGACCACCCTGCCACCCCAGGCACGTCATCAGGACCTCTGAGGCTGTGTCACAGGCATGCGTCCCTCACTTAGGCAAAATAAACTTCCTAAATTGACTGAGACCTGTCTCAGATTTTTGGTTTTCACATTTTGGCAACCACAAAGGGATGCTGAGTAGTAGTGCCCCGACCTTTGACAAATACCCTATCAGTGCTTGGTAGCAGTTTGAGCTATCTTTATGTCTCAAACTAATATAACAATGTGCTGAGGTCTGGAAGCACCCTGTCCAGGGAATCTCTCATCTTCCAAAATTTGTTTGAGATCCAAAGTATATTTTTCTGTACAACTCTTTTCTTTTCTCCTTCCTCCCTCCCTCCCTCTTGCCTTTTTTTTTTCTTTTCCTTCCTTTTTCTTTCTTCTTTCTCCTTCCTTCCTTCTTTCTTCTCTCTCTCTCTCCTCCTTTCTTTTTCTTTCCTTTCTTTCTTTCTTCTTTCTTGTAGTTGGAACTTGCTCACAACAGGGAAGACAAGTTTGAGGGTTTTTTCCCTGCTTCTAAGATGATAGACAGCAGTCTTCAGCCTAAGACCCATCCTTAGGTAAGTAATTAAATTGGGGTTTGTCTTGGCTAAAGATAAGATTAACAACCAGCTGGTCTTAATTTTTCCTTTCCATTAGAGTGCTCAGTAATCATACAAGTTGTGAGACCATGTTTGTTTTGCCTAACTGGGTTTTTTGGGTGTTTGTTTCTATTTTTGCTGTTGTTTTGGTCTTTTTCCCATTGGGTTTGACCAATTCTATCTCACTTGATCAAATCCAAAGGAAAGTTCCAAATTATGTGGAACAAGGCCTCTAAAGTGGTTAAATTCCCATCAAAAAAGGGGGTGGTGTGGGGGGAAAATGGCCAGTAAAAGGAAAAAAGTGAGGGGAAGATTTTTCATCTTGACTACTTAAGGGGCTTTATTTACAAAACAAGCACAACAAGGCCACCTTTTTGCTAGCCAGGCCAAACTGAAAGAGCAAGGATTGTCACCCCACAATGCAGTTCCATAGCTAAGCTTCTCTTCTTTTTCCGTGACAGCATGGGTTTGGTTCCTAAATCAGTATCTTTCTGGTTTGATACTTGCTACTTGTAAAACAGCAGCTATCCGTCCTAGCTGAAATATGGTGATGAGATTTTAAAACATTTTTTAAAAGAAACTCAAATGGTTAAAAGTCAGCTTAATTAAAAGCTGACATCCAAGATGTGTGTGTGTGTGTGTGTGTGTGTGTATGTGGTGTGTGTATTTAAAAGGCCTTCATGGGCCGGGCACTGTGGTTCACGCCTGTAATCCCAGCACTTTGGGAGGCCGAGGCGGGTGGATCACGAAGTCAAAAGATCGAGCCCATGCTGGCCAACATGGTGAAACCCCGTTATCTACTAAAAATACAAAAACTAGCTGGGTGTGGTGGCATGCGCCTGTAGTCTCAGCTACTTGGCCGGCTGAGGCAGGAGATTTGCTTGAACCTGGGAGGCAGAGGTTGTAGTGAGCCAAGATTATGCCACTGCATTCCAGCCTGGCAACAGAGTGAGACTCCGCCTCAAAAAAAAAAAAAAAAAAAAAAAAAAAAAAAAGCCTTCACGGTTTTTCTTTTTTCTCTCTCCTAGGACCCTGTGTTTTATGAGTAAAAAAAATTTTTTTTCTGCTCAGTTGACTGAATGCTGTTTTCTTCATCTACTTCTGCTGTTTCTCCTTTCTCTTGCATCCTCTGCTGCATGAGGGACCTAAAATAGTTTATAATAACCTGAGGTTCCTTAAAGAAAACAGAGAAGGCACCAGACTCCCTTTGCAGAGAAAACTGTTTTCCTTATCCAGCCCTAAGAGTGTAAAAAGACAAGTTCATCTCAGCTCTTAAACTGCTTGTGTTTGTATTGTGTTACCTGATTTTTTTTTAATAGTTATTGCAACAAAGGCTACTTTTGGGTTTTTAAGGAAGAATATATTTTAGACACTTCGAAATCTTTGTTTAAAAAAAGTTTTTTAAGTGCACTCTAAAAGCATCCATGTGGTCTAGCCTCATAATTCTCCCTTTTTAGAGACCCGGAATTCAGTGTGGCCTCTTCCCAGAGCTCAGAGATCTAGTTAAAAGATAGGGACTATCTATCTAAATAAAACTGGTCTCCTGTGATCCAACCACCTCCCACCAGGCCCCACCACCAACACTCGGGATTACAATTCAACATGAGATCTGGGTGAGGACACAGATCCAAACCATATCACAGGTCAAGGCTGAGGCATGGTTGAAAAGGCTCAGAGGGGCCTGATCAAAGTTTGTCACAGTTTTGATTGATATTACCAGATTACTCTCCATTGATGTACACATGATGCCCAGGATTTCATTTTTACCAATCACCTGTGTTTTCAAATGTGTTCATCTTTGTCAACCAGATACGCAAAATTAAGGTGTGTCCTTACAAACTCTGATAGTAAATATCAAATGTTTGGGTGCATCTTCTTTTCTAAGACTATGTCCTAAGTAAGTGTGGATACGGATAATGGGCAAGGTTTTCATCACTATATTGTTTATAACAGTGAAAAACTGCAAGAAGCCTAAATATACCTTAGGGGATTTGTTAAATAAGTTATAGCACACACACAGGATGAAATTGGTTACAGCCATTAAAAGTCATGCATACATGAAGGACAGGTTCAGTGGTTCACATCCATAATCCCAGCACTTTTGGGAGGCTGAAGCAGGAGGACTGCTTGAGCATAGGAGTTCAAGAGCAGCCCGAGCAACATAGCAAGACCCCATCTCTACAAATAAATAAAATTTAAAAATTATCTGGGTGTGGTGACATTCACCTGTGATTCCAGCTACTCAGGAGGCTGAGGTGGGAGAACTGCTTGAGGCCAGGTCAAGGCTGCAGTGAGCTATGATTGTACCACTGCACTCTAGTCTGGGCAACAGAGCACAACCCTGAAGTTAAAACACCTCTTAAAACAAAAGGTACTTGTAAAAAAGCAGCTATTCGTCTTAGCTGAAATATGTTGGTGAGATTTTAAAATATTTTTTAAAAGAAACTCAAATGGTTAAAAGTCAGCTTAATTCAAAGCTAATATCCAAGATGTGTGTGTATGTGTGTAAGTGTGGATATGTTGATTCATATCTCAACGTATGATATGAATCATAAAAAAAAATCAAGGATAAAATTTTATGAAATGCCTATTTTTGAGTTGATGGAGTCCCCTCATTTTGGTCCCATCTGAAATCTTATACAAATTACTGCTCATAAATTTTTGTATTAAGTTTTAAAGTATTCAAGTAATTGGCATGTGTGAAAAAGCATGAAGAAAAATGGAAACACCAACATTCCCTTTCCCCATTTATTCCCGTTTCTTGTAATAACTGCAGCCAGTTAGGTGAAGACTAACAGACCTTTTAGTAAAATGTATCTAGTGTCACTGATAACTAGGTAACAACCCTGTTTCCTTTTTAAAACAGACTGAAACTGGAAACCTGTCCTTTAAATTTCTTCCATAGCTGGCTGCTACAGACTGAATGTTCGTGCCACCATCCACAATCCGTATGTTGGAATCCGAACCCCCTAGTGTGACTGCATTAGGAGGTGCGTAGGTCATCAAGGTCGGGCCCTCGGCGATGGGACCAGTGCCCTTAAAAGAGACTCCAGAGCGATCTGCAGCAAATCCGCCCCCACGAGGACACAATGCGAAGACGGAAGTCCGTAACCAGGAAACACGCCCTCAGCAGAGGCCGAACTGCACCTGGATCTTGAACTTCTAGTTTCGAAAACTTTGAGAAATAATGGCACTTCCGTTATAGCAGTTTGAAATGAGGCACCGGCAGTGTCGATTGAATGTCACCTAAATACACTGGGTCACGGGAGGAGCGTGGAGCCGCGACCCCGGAAGGCCACGCTACCGGCGGGCCGCCGGGCACTCAACGAGAGGGAGGCGCCTGCGTCCGTCCTGCCGGTGCCTTCGCCCGTCGCCGGGGCCGTCGCTGTGCCAGGCTCACTGCGGGCGCTTTCTGAGCTGAGCTTGTCTCGGGATTCGGGGCGCCTGCCGTGGACCGAGCCTTCGTCCGCACGGGTGGGACCGGGGGCGGCCGCGGCGGCGCTCTGACTCGGGGCCGCAGGCGCGCTCGGGGCCGGGGACACGCGGAGCGGCGGCGGGGACGCCCCGTGCGGCTCTCTGCACTCGGAGTCCGAGTCCTCGCACGGCGCCCGGCGGCCCACGGCGCCCTGAGGGGAGACCCGCGGGAACGCGCCGCGCCCGCACTTGGGACGCGTCCGGCCGGCGCCTCGTCCCTCCCCTCCCCGGCGAGCGGCGCCGCTGCGGCAGGCCGGGCCGCGGGGACCCCCGTCCGGGAAAGCCGGACGCCTGCCGGTTCTGGGGAGAGGAGGGCGAGGGCTTCCCCGGGGCCGGGAGCGTCGGGAGGGGTCCTCGTGCCCTCAGAGGGGCGTACGGGAAGTCTGCGGAAACCAAGGGAAAGGAACCAACATGGGAGCAACCGCGACCACAGCGCAGCGCTTTCAAACGAGGCGGGGGACGGCAAGCGCTCCCTCACCCCGGCAGGCTCTGAGGAAACCCGCTCAGCCCCCATCGGCACCGTCGGCACCGGGCCGAGGAAGCCGCCGCCGCCCTGCCCCGCCTCGGTGAGGTCAGCCCCCTGCGCACGGCTCTCTGCCTCCCGCCACTACCTCCGGCCTTCTCCGCCCCGTCCACGGCTCCCGCGACGGGCTCGGCAGTTGACGCCGGGGACCTTCCGGCCATTTCCTCTCCACTCGCCAGCACCGCCGCCGTCGGAGCCACCTGATTGGAGCAAACCCTGCGGGGTGGGAGAGGAGGCGGGACTCCGGGCAGCGCGCCTGCGCAATGCAGTCCTGCGCGCTCTCGAGGGGTAAGGTAACGGTCCAGCGCGCTTGCCTGGAAGCTAGTGCGCATGCGTAAGGGCGCAAGGGCAACTAACCCGGCGTGAAGCCAGCAAGGGCCACGTGCGTCCAGGCTTGCCACTGGCCCAGTGCCTGGTGCCCCCGGGACAGGTGTGCTGGCCTCCCTAGGGGCTGGCCCTGGTTCTGCAGCCCCGCTCATCGAGCAATGCGCATGTGCCGAGCCACCCCTGCCTGTGAAGCGTGTGTCTCACGGACAACTCCACATGGCGCTGTGGCTTCAGCAGCCTCACGAAGTCACGGCTATGCAGGTTAAGATTAGGGAGTTAGGGTTGGGGGTTAGGATTAGGACGTTAAGGTTAGAGTTAGGGTTGGGGGTTAGGGTTTAGGATTAGTGTTAGGGTTTAGGGTTAGGAGTTAGGGGATTGGGCTCTGGCCAGGGTCGGGGTCAGGGTCAAGGTTAGGGGTCATGGTTAGGGTTACAGCTAGGTCTAGGGTTAGGCGTTAGGGTTAGTGGCTAGGCTTAGTGTTTTAGGGTTAGGGTTAGAGGGTAGCATTTGAGGGTCAGGATCAGGATGAGGGTCAGAGTAAGGGTGAGGGTCAGGGTGATGGTGAAGGTCAGGATCAGGGTTTAGGGTTAGGGTTTAACGTTAGGGGTTAGGGCTAGTGTCAGGGTTAGGGGTTAGAAGTTGGTGGTTAGGGTCAGGTTTAGGGATTGGGGTTAGGGCTAGTTCTAGGGCTAGGGATTAGGGTTAGTGGTTAGGGTTAGGGTTTTAGGGTTAGGGGTTGAAATGGGGTTGAAATGGGGTTTAGGGTTAAGTTTTGGGTTCAGGGTTAGGGGTTTGGTGTTAGGGTTGGTGCTGGGGGTAGGGGTTAGTGTCAGGATTAAGGGTTTATGCTTTAGGGTTGGGGTTGGGTTTAGGGTTGGGGTAGGGTTAAGGTTAACGTTTAGTATTTGGGGTTTCTGGTTACGGGTTGTGGTTAGGGTTACGGTCAAGGTCAGGGTTCATTAGGATTAGGGTTTTAGGGTTAGGGTTACCGTTTTGGGGTAGGGGTTTGGAGTACAGATTGCGGTTGAGGTTAACATTGGGTTTAGGGTTAGGGGTTAGGGTTATGTTTAGGGTTTATTGTTAGGGTTAAGGGTTAGGGATTAGGCATTGGGGTTAGGGATTAAGGGTTGGGGTAGAGGTAGGGTTGGTATTAGGGTTGGGGTAAGGGGTTATGTGTTTGGGTTGGGGGTTAAGGTTAGGATAGGGTTAAGGTTGGGTTAGTTTTAGGGTTAGGGTTAGAATTAGGGTTAGAGTCTTAGTGTTAGAGGTTTTTGGGTAGGGATTGGGGTTGGGGTTAGGGTTAAAGGTTAGGGGTTGGGGTTAGGGTTAGGATTTAGGGTTAGGGTTAGATGGCACTGACTTAGAGTGGAAAATGTTTAACCCCAAGAGATGCCTACAGAGGCAGCTGAGCCACACCACAGACTCCTAGAAGGGCTTGTGTTAGGGTTCCCAAGTTTCTTGGTAAGCAGACGAGATGAAAAGGTAGACACAGAATGGTTGGTTCGAAGTATGTTGGGAAGTGTGATCCTAAGACCCCCTCATTCCACACTGGCCATCAAATACTCCTCCCTGACATCAGAAAAATAAACAATTTATTTTCTTCAGACATCAAAACAGAACGTTTCTAAGTTCCAGGATGCTGGATAATGCTGCTTATGCAAACAGAGTATTTAGTGGAATTCCATCTGCTAAGCAGGGAGAACTGCAGACTCTTTCTCCCTTTGTCTCCCAGAATGCTGGGGTCAGGCTTGCTTTCTTAGACAGGAAATTGGCAAACTCTTCTTGGAGATCTGCAGATACCAACACTCTCAGGTTTCCTCAGGTCCAGGAGTGCCAGGCTCCCATGCACTCTTTCTTTGGGGAAGCAAAGGAAGACTCCATCTGTGCATACAGAATGCATTAATTATATTTTCTTATATTCTGTTTTACTGATGTTCTAGCATCTGGGGTTTACTGGGAAAAGATTGCCTTTCCCATGGCCAGCCCATTAAACTACCAATCTAGAACTCATACTCCAAACCACTTACCTTACCTGCTCTGATACTATAGGAGAAAATACCACCCTTCCCTAATCACCCAGGTCCAGGTACTAGGCAACTAGAGATGGCCCCTATGCCCTAGAGCCTGCTGAAGTTATTCACACTGGCCAGCCTAAGCCTGCCTGCCCTGCTGGGCCTTGCTCTCCCACAGAGACCACAGCAGAGGCTCCTGCCCATGCCTTCCCCTCTCTCCTTCTGCTTCTGCCCAGGCTTCCCTATGCCTCCTATTTCTAGGGGTCTATGAGTATGAACGTATTTCCATGGGGCAGTCACTTCCGTGTCTGCAGAGCTTAACATCGCTGATTAAAACAAATTTTGAGTACATTTTAAAACATATGGCTTCCAATGGAATTTTTAAAGCCCTTACATGGAGAATTTTAAACATATATGTAAATAAACAATGAATATAACAAACCCCTCTATATCTATAACCCTTCAGAACAACCAGAAACACGTGGCCAATTATGTTCCCTCTATATTCCCAAATAAAATTCATATGTTGTGATTAGATGATGTGTTTTTAAGCCTATATAAGATATACATTTCCCCTATATGCTCTGTATATCATTTTCTTGTAATTTATTTGTTGAAGAAGCTGCATTGATTTTCCTGATTCATATTGAGAGAAAAAAATAAAAGCAGAAGAAATAAAAATGTCAGAAAAAAAATCAATGGGATTTAAATGGTACAGCTGCTTTGGAAAACAGTCTGGAAGTTCCTCAAAAAGTATGACATAGAATTACTCTTTGACCCATCAATTCTACTGAAGTCTTCATACTGAAGAGAATTAAAAACATATGTCCACACGAAAATGTCTACACAGATTTCCATAGCAGTGTTACCTATAATAGCCAAAAAGTAGAAACAACCCAAATGTCCACCAACTGATGAGCGGATAAATAATATGAAGTATATCCACACAATGGAATACTATGCAGCCTCAAAAAGGAATTGTGGCCAGAGCCTGGAGGAGGGAAAAATGGGAAATACAGTGCTTCTTTCCAGGGTGCTGAAAACGTTTTAGAATTAAATAGTGGTGAAGTCTGTGCTACTTCCAGAAAGTGCTAAATTGTACACTTTATTTTCTTTCTTTCTTTCTTTTTTTGAAGGAGGGAGGGGAAGAGAAAAGAAGGCAAGGAGACAGTGGGAGAGGTGGAGAGGGATGGCGGGAGAGGGACGGGGGAGAGGGATGGGGGAGAGGGATGGGGGAGAGGGACGGGGGAGAGGGATGGGGGAGAGGGATGGGGGAGAGGGATGGGGGAGAGGGATGGGGGGAGAGGGATGGGGGAGAGGGACGGGGGAGAGGGATGGGGGAGAGGGACGGGGGAGAGGGAAAGGGAGGGGGGAGGGGAGAGGAGGGGGAGGAGGAGAGCAGGAGGGGGCAGGATGGAGAGAGAGAGAGAGGGCCTCTTGAGAAAAGGGGAGAGGGAGAGCGAGAGGGAAAGAAGGGGAGCGAAGAAAGGGGGAGAGGGAGAGAGAGGGGGAGGGAAGAGAAGAGAGGGAGAGGGAAGGAGGTAGGGAGGAAAGGAGGGAGAGAGGGAGGAGGAGAGGGGAGAGGGGAGAAGGGGAGAGAGGGGAGAAGGGGAGAGAGGCGGGCGGGGGAGAGAGGGGGACAGGGGAAAGAGAGAGAGGGAGAGAAGGGTGGGGAGAGAAGAGGGAGAGAAGGCCTAAATTGTACACTTTAAATGAGTAAAATGTAGTATTTTAATTATATCTCATTTTAAAAATCAAAAACATTTTCCAGAAATAAAGTTTTTGAATTTTCAGATTTAAAAGATCTATTGAGTTCCCCTCAAAATGAATTTCAAAATTCTACACTAAAGCACATTATTGTGACATTTGAGAACATCAGAGCTAAAGATCTGGAAAGCTTCCAGAAAGGTGAAAGAAAAAGATCACCTTGCTTTGCTGGCAATATGGCCAAATAGGAAGAGCTGTGGTCTGCAGCACCAAGAGAGATAGATGCAGAAGGTGGGTGAGTTCTGCATTTCCAACTGAGGTACCTGGTTCATCTCATTGGGACTGTTTGGACAGTGGGTGCAGCTCTTGGAGGGTGAGCTGAGGCAGGGTGGAGTGTCACCTCACCTGGGAAGTGCAAGGGCTGGAGGGATTTCATTCCCCTAGTCAAGAGAAGCTGTGAGAGACTATACCAGGAAGAGTGGCACATTCCAGCTCAGATACTGCGCTTTTCCCAACAGTCTTCATAACTGGCAGACCAGGAGATTCCCTCCAGTGTCTATGCCACCAGGGCCCTGGGTCTCAAGCACAAAACTAGGTGGCCATTTGGGCAGATGCCAAGCTAGTGGCAGGAGTTTTTTTTTTTTCATACCCCAGTGGCACCTGGAATGCCAGCGAGATAGAACTCTTCACTCTCCTGGAAAAGGGGCTGAAGCCAGGGAGCCAAGTGGTCTGGCTTGGCAGGTCCTACAGAGCCCAGCAAGCTATGATCCACTGGCTTGAAGTTCTCACTAGTAGCAGAGCAGTCTGAGGTTGACCTGGGACACTTAAGTTTGTTGAGGGAGGGGCATGTGCCATTGCTGAGGCTTAAGTAGGTAGTTTTACCCTCACAGTTTAAACAAAGCTGCCTGGGAAGTTTGAACTGGGTGGAGTCCACCTCCGCTCAGCAAGGCCACTGCTGCCATACTACCTCTCTAGATTCCTCCTTACCTGGGCCAGGCATCCCTGAAAAAAAGGCAGCAGCCCCAGTCATTGACTGATAGATTAAAAACCCCCATTTACCTGGACAGAGCACCTGGGGGAAGAGGTGGCTGTGGGTGCAGCTTCCACAGACTTAAACGTCCCTGTCTGAAAGCTCTGAAGGGAGCAGTGTATCTC